GACTGTCGAAAGCGGGATTCCTCAGTTCTGCGAAATTTGCCGCTAACTTATTCCACCATCTGCTTGACCAACTATCCTTCCTCTAACAAAATCTGACAATTCGAGAGAACCTTGAGTTCTAGGCATGTTGTAGCACAAGATAATTAGTGTGCGGACCATTTTCATTTATATAGTGCTCTGTGTACACAAATTAGTTAGCATAAATCAGTTAAATGACGAAAAATTAGGTGTCTATTTACTTATGACCACTCAGTGTATATTCATGTACTTATAATAAGGAGTTAGTCAGGTTGCTATATATTTATATACATTTACTTATCTACTGAGAATAAGGAACTAGACATGACTTTATTGTATATTAGATTGCCAAGGTAGCTACACGACAGAGACTGTAATGCAAGGCTGTCTAGGAAGACGAAGGTGTTCTATCCTCGCTTCTGTTCAGACATTCGGCAAACCTGGTTGTCCGGCAGGTACCCGCCATTACCTTAAGGTTGTTTACACTTGCGGTAAGTAGCTTTTATTTATTATTTATCGAAGTTCCTTTAGTCCAGGTCGTGATTTGTTTCAAAATGAATAATTTCTTGTTGTTATTTTATGTAATTAACAATTTGACGTCTCACTTAAAATTTGATTCGCGTTAAAAGAAAAGAATGAAAAGACAGAGAGTTTTGTTACATACTTGAAATATCAAGACGATGGCTCTACAACTCTGTTTTCTGAACAAGTAGAAGACAAGTTAAAGCCACAAAAAGTTTCTCTTTTTATTTATTCAGTTTCTAAAGAAATACTTCGGAAGTTGGACACTGATGGACAAAAGAACACCGAAATCGACAAAACAGATTACTTTGTGGAAAAACCGAGATTTGTAGCGCCACCTGTAGGTCAGAATAGAACTAGATGGAAAGGAAGCCTAGAATATACCATTACTGTCGGCAAAAGCACAACAACTACAAAACACAAGACAGGTAAGATCGTTAAGTTCAATGGGAGTTATATTAATATCATGTACTTGTTTATATTACGGTTATTCTGATAAATATTTACAACAGCAACAAAATTCTATTCTAAAACAAGCATTCTATGATTTTTTTACAATATATTAAATACTTTCTAATCCCACATTCATTTCGTGATTTTTATGTTAATGTACCAGATTCTTCTGATAACGGAGATATAAATTATTTGTCAGTATTTATCATCTATAGAACAGTAGCAGTAGCTTTCAGAAATCATCCACCAGGAAATTACACTGATTGTCAGAAATTATCTACCAGTAAATTACACTGATTGTCAGAAATTATCTACCAGTAAATTACACTGATTGTCAGAAATTATCTACCAGTAAATTACACTGATTGTCAGAAATTATCTACCA